GGGTGTTGAAATGTTTGATAGTAGCAAGTCTTCTATCTTCCAAGCACACGTGAGTTTGCAAAATGCTTGCATATTAATTCACTTCATGACCACATGGAGAGCCATCCGGAGCCATCATTCTTGTGTTTCCAGGGGGAAAACTGGGCTCAGGGAGATGGGTGGTAGGAGAAAACACAGCTGCAGCAATTCTGAAGCCTCACGCAGTGTACTAGCTACAGGAACACGGTAGACATAAAGTAATCCGAGCCTAGAGTAACTAACAGGAAGGAAGGACTAAAATGAATCTCACAAATGGAAAAAGTCAAAGGTGCCTGCCGTGTCTGTTTTTGGAACACTTTTGAACGCACTTCCTGTGTTCAGTGACATGGACTAGTTGCCATAGCTATGATGAAATTCCTCAAAGAATAGGTCATTTAGAACTTACTAGCTCCGTAATAGCCTAGACTGGTGGTTTGTAAACTTTTTGGTCTTGGGAGTTTGTGACACTCTTCAAATGATCTTAAAAACTATGGAGGCCCCCAAAGAGCTTCCGTTTATGTGACTTCTAACTACCCGTTTGTACTGTACTAGAAAATAAAATTTAAAAATTTTAAATACCTTACTAATTTATTAAAAAATAAGAAACTGATCACATGTGAAAAGGAATATCTCATTTTCATTACAACATAATGCTGTTTTCCCAAGCAAAACAAAAATTGGTGAGAAATTGGGCATTGTTGTATACTTTTAGAAATCTCTTTCACATCTGGCTTCAGAGATCTGGCTGCATTCTCTGGTCTGGGTCTGTGTTCCAGCTGTGGTGACATCATACCTGTAGCTCTGGAAAATTCCATGGGAAGCCTATGAGAGAAGGAGAGTGAAGAAGTCAAATGATGTACTCATGTGTTTACGAAAATTGTTTTGGGGATGCCTGTGTGGCTCAGTCGGTTGGGTGGCTGCCTCCGGCTCAGGTCATGATCCCAGTGTCCTGGGATTGAGTCCCACACTGGACTCCTTGCTCCACGGGAAGCCTGCTTCTCCCTCTGCCTCTGCCTGCCACTCCGCCTGCCTGTACTCTATCTCTCTGACAAATAAATAAATAAAATCTTAAAAAAATAAAAAAGAAAAGAAAAGAAAATCGTTTTGATCTTGAAATCCATCTGAAAGGATGTGTGGGGTCACTGAGCCATAACTGGAGAACTACTGGAATGAACAACAGCGAACCCCTAATTTTAAGAACACATGTTTTTAAGGTACAGCCTTTTTAAGCACACAATCTCTGAGATGAATATTCCTTGCAGTAGAATCAACTGGGTCTTAGAGCTCTTGTCTTTCCCTCGACTTTAAAGATAATCCAGAGCCAGGAAATTGTAAACAAAGAACAAGGACTCCAGTCCATCTAAACTCAGCAAGGACCCTGAGTGAAGGAGGTTATTACCCCAGGGACCATCACTTTATGTGCAAACACCAAACAATTACTGGAGTGTACGAATGTAATTTTGGTCTCCTGACTTACGTAAATTCAACCCGGGCCACTTAATCCTGGTACCATGAGTGCCAGCAAATAAGATTCTCTCAGGATGTCAATACCTGTGCTGATTAGAGGCTGTTCCAAACTCTTGGACTTTTGGGGCCCCAAAGAGAAGGGCAGTCCTCCATATGGAGGCCAGTCAGAGGCAAAAGGGGGCCTCCTTGTCGTGTGCACCAACACCCTGTGGTTCTTTCAGCTTCTCAGATCTCTCTCTGATGTCCGGAGACAGGAAAAAGGCTGAGCACCGGTTCCATGTTAGTCCTCCAATGAGAAAGACATTCAATGTTTTGTTTTTGTTTTTTTTTTTTTCCAAAATTTTATTTATTTATTTGACAGAGAGAGAGATCACAAGTAGGCAGAGAGGCAGGCAGAGAGAGAGAGAAGGAAGCAGGCTCCCCGCTGAGCAGAGAGCCCGATGCGGGGCTTGATCCCAAGACCCTGAGATCATGACCTGAGCCGAAGGCAGAGGCTTAACACACTGAGCCACCCAGGTGCCCGACATTCAATGTTTTGCCACACACTGCAACTGGGAAACACTTAAATGCAGCGTGACTTAATAAAGCAATTTAGGGGGCACCTGGGGGTATCTGCCTTCAGCTCAGGTCATGATCTCAGAGTCTTGGGATCGAGACCCATGTTGGTCTCTGTGTTCAGCAGGGAGTCTGCTTCTCCTTCTCCCTTTGACCCTCTCCCTGCCCATGCTCTCTCTCTCTCAAATAAATAAAACCTTAAAAAAATAAAATAAAGCAATTTAGAATGCACTGCCTTGTTTCTATATATGCCATCAACTAAGCAAATGACAGAGTAATTACAATCCCTTCATTCACTGTTCTTTGTGAAACAATGTGACCCCCTTCCTTTCCTCCTTCCCTCCCTTCTTTTACCTTCGTTCTTACCTTAAATATTGACTATGTACCCATTATGAACAAGGCACTGTGATAAACACAACCTCATATTTTTCTGGCTACCGATTCTGTATATTTGTAATTGTTAAATATTCTTTTTTCCTAAGAAAGAATGCCCAGTATAAGACATTAAAATTATAGTAAAGTGTAAAGAAGACAAGTGTAATTGTCAGTAGCTAATTTCTAGGGATAATTTTAATAAATTCTAGATTTTTTCCCTGTGGTTTCACCTAGTTGAGATTATATGTGGACACCATTTTATACCCTGATTTGTTTAACATTGGAACACATTGGATCACCGGCAGCTTCAATGTTATTTAAAACTCATCATAAACCTAACTTTAATGTCTAAAGTTGATGATCAACATCTCAGTGGAGAAATCCTACTTCTCATTTCAGATTTCCTGAGAACTAGCTCCCTCCTGGAGGTGGAATTACTTGGGGGAAAGGCTATATTTCATAGCTTCTGTAAAAATTATAGCACACTTAAAAATACCAAGATACAAGCAGAATAAAGACACTGGTGCCCACTTTTCATTAATTCAATTAGTGAAAGGAAGACAGACCTGGATCGTCCCAAAAGTCCCTAGATCAGAGTTTTGGTGGCAAACATTGAAACCAATTCTGATCACTTAATCGGAAGAGAGATGTCTCGGAAGGCCAGCAGGTAGCAAACCAAAAGAGACAGGAAGGCTGGAGAATCAATTCCATCAAACAGGTAGGGTAGTTTGGAACCAGAACATGTCACATAGGCCATGTAGGACATCACTTGGTATTGCCACTGGACATGTCCAACTGTCTTCAGGCATTGCTGTCTATGACTACAAACATCACTTCATAGATAATGACATTATTTTTTAGAATGTCTCCTGTTTGTGTCATAGACCTTTGAACTGAGATCATAGGATGATTCCAGGGATGCTAGAGGGTGGAGACATTGAGTACTGGGACATTTTGGCTTTTATGAGAGTTTGGATTCTAGGTAGATCTTTTATCAATGATCTTTTTATCATAGATCTTTATCAATGACCACTATAAATGTTCACATGAGATTCTTTGTTTCGTAGTTGGTTTTTTTTTTTTTTTTTTTTTTTAGGAATCTGGTTGATCTTCTTAACTACAACTGAATTTTTAGATTGTCTAGTAGGTCATGAGATTATCTAGTCTGGAACTGCACACTCCAATGTATATCCTATCTTCAAAGGTCAGTGGGGTGGGGCATAGGGGAGTGGTGGGGACTGTGGAAAACTGAAGAGCATCATCCCAGGGTCAACGGGACACCTCCGACTTGGCTCCAGCTGATGGGTGCTAGAACCCACCACGAACCAAACTTTGCCAGTTCTTTCAACTTTTCCTGAAATTTCCTGATTTTAAACTTGGGAACTAAATTCAAAGTGAGATAAACAATGACACCATCGCTTTTCAAAAAATCAGGGCTGCAGGCCGCCTCCAAGAGTCAAACCTTTTCGTTTGAAACACCAACACAGGGAGAGGAGAGACCTAAGAAGGTGGGACATGCCAGAGGCCCAGCAGCTCAGCTGGGGGCAGAGCCAAGACCGGAAGTTTGGTCTCCCCAAGAAAAGCAGGTTAGGAAAAGCCTAACCTTTTCTCACTCCCCATCTCTGCAATCACTTCTCTTGAAAATAGCCTCCTCCCTAAATTCGAGAAAAGTGGAACAGTGTCCGTGATTGTTCAGCAGCAGCCGTGTTTGTAAGATGTTTATAAATTCATAGAATCTGCCGGGCCCACAGAAAGAAATACCGCGTAGTGACGTCATCTCAGAATTTAAATCTTAACTTGTACTACTTTCTAAGTGGGTACCGGGGACAAATTGCTTCTCCGGGTCGCGGTCGTGGGAACCGTGAGAGCCCTTTTCATCAGGCTGTGGAGAGGATAAGAATTTCATACTGAGGGTGCCAGCACAGCGCCAGGACCATACTAAGAAACACTGCCCAGAATAATAACACGATACGCAGAAGGTGGCTGACTCGATCGCGTCACCCGAGTACGCGAGGCAGGAGGGGAGGAAGAGCACTAACGTGTTGCACGGTGGGGGTAGCGGAATATCTAACGCGAGGACGAGTGGGGTTTGCACCCACGCGCCAGCCTTCCTCGGACCCCAGTGCGAGTTTCACGGCCACGGCCACCTGCATGGGGCACGCGTGCACCGCGCCGTTCAGAGCCACCCTCTCGGGGCCATCGGTGAAGCTGATGGTGGAGCTCACGCCGGTCCCAGGGGCTCCGGGCTGGGGAGGGGACGCGCAGCGTTTCAGAGGAGAAAGTGGCAGCGGGCGGTTTCCCCGGCGCTCTAGGCCGCCGCGGGGACTCGCTGCCACCTGCGAGCTTTCTCTGCAGAATGCGGGAGCCCGCGCGGCGGAGGAGGGGCGGAGGCAGGGGCGGAGGCTGCCCCCGGGGGCCGGGGCCGGGGAGGCCGGGACCATCGCAGCGCCAATTTCTGTTACGGCAGCGGCGGCGGCGGGGACGCCTGCAGGCTGGGGTCGGCCGGCCTGAGCGCGGGTTCTCCGGGGACCTGCTCCGCGCTGCTTCTGGGGAGCGCGGCCGCCGAGGGGCGGAGGAGGAGGAGAGCGGGGCGCGGGCTCGGCGCGAGCGGACCGAGCAGGGACCCCGCGCCGCGCGGCGGAGCAGCGTGGCGGGCACGGCCCAGGCCGGCGAGCGGGCGCTCCTGGCGCATCAGCCGGCCGCAGGGCCTTCCAGCGACAGCCACCGCGGCCCGGGCTGCAGCGGCCAGACGGATGCCAAGGCCACACGGCAGGCAGGCGCGGGGACAGCCGCCGCAGCCGCCGTCCCACGCGGGCTCCGGACACCTGGGTTGCTGGTGAGTGTGAGCGCGCTCCGGCCCGGGCGCGGGTGCATCCCGGGGGCCGGTGCATCCCGGGGGCCAGTGGCCCCGGCCCCCTCTCCGGCTGGCGGCGTCCGACCGCGGGCTTCGCTCGGCGGGAGAAGAGGCGCGCTCCTGGGGCTCACTTCCTTCCTGCCGGTGCGCGGCCCCCGCCGGCCCCTAGGGGTTACTTTCACCTTGATGGGGAAGGCAGGAAGCGGCGGCTCCCGGTGGCGGGGCGGGACTCCGGCGGCGACCTAGGCGCGTGGGCTTCTGATTCCCACTCGGGGTGCAGCCCTGGCGAGGGTGCCGGCGCTCGGAAGGACCCCCGCTCCTCTTCGGGGCGCGCGGGGCGGGGCAGGCGGGGCAGGCGACGCGAAGGCAGGACAAACAGACCTTCACCGCTGCGGGACCGGGGCCGCGCTTTTCTAGGTGGTGTTGACTTTTGTGCCTTCTCTGCGCGACTCTTAAGACGCGTCCCCTCTCCTGGAGCGTGGAAGCCTTAACCCAACCCTTTTAATGAAGTCCACAAGGGAAGTGGAATGTCGCCAAGACATAATTTTCCAAAACTCTCTAAAACAACCCCCGCTGCTGATCCAAGAGCCTAAGGTGCTCTAAATACGGAAGAACAAAAAAATTAAAGTTGTATAAGTAGTACATTGTTTAGGAAACAGAACCTGATTGAGGGAATTGAAGAAAGTCTTGTGTTTGATCGGCGTGGGGCTGGGGACGGCTTTCTGGAAATCAGTGTTTGATGTAAGTACAACAGACATCTTTCAAAGGAAGCTCCGGCGAGCGCACTGCTTTGCAAACATCCTGCTAATCTTTAAGAATGAAAATGAAGTGCTAGGTTTTAGGGGTGTCCAAAATGATCGAGGCTATCACTAGGGTGCGGATTTGTGATCTCCTGATTCAAGGCCCTGTCAAGGTCAATATGGCAGGTGTGTTCCAGCAGTTAAATTAAACCTGGATGTTTGATTTCCTTTTCTAAGATTGGGGGTGGGGGAGGTAGAGCTGCTTTTCTGTGGTTGTTTCACAAGAGATGAAGCCACTGTGTTGTTTCTTTCCAGAGCTTGTTTCCGTTCGCAGTCTTGTATTTGTCGCCTGGATGCTCATTTAAACTTCACGGGTGTGCTCGGCCAGTGCATCCTAGCCGGCGTCCTGTAGCCACCCTCTAAACATCTCTGCTTCTTTCTAGTACATGTTAGTGCCTTTGAGAGAGAGTCACCTCTTATCATTTTCTCCAACCCGTATCTTCATTCAAAGACATGAAATGTTCTGGAGTCTTCCTAGAAAATGAACAGGCTGCTTGTTTTTTCTGTCCAAGCATATAGATGGCACATAGTTTGCTGCTTGGGAACCTGCTTTTGCATGCACTTCAGCTGTCCTTTCTGTAGGAGCCGGTTCTTGGGAATTTGAAGAAGAAATGTGTTGTCTTATGCTGTTTTGTAAGGTAAGTACTATTGAAATGATCAGGCAGAGAATCCTAGCCCTTTATTCATATTGCCAGCTTCCGGGGGCCAGTTTCTTGCCTACTTTGGGGCCTTTGGGTAGGATCATTAGGCCTGAGAGGCTTGAAGGAAGAAATGGTAGAATCATGGCCCCAGGGTATCTTCCGAAGAGAGGTTTCTTTTGGAGAGGAGAATGTCTCTGGGGTTGGGTCCTGAGAAGACTGTTAAAAATAGTTAAGGAATTGTTAATAATAGCTACTTCTTTTTACACATAGCACATAGGACCTAACACAGCTTGATTCGTATTCCTCCTCTAAGGACCCTTCCCAGGCCTACTTACATTTACAATCCAGAAAGTGAGAATGCCCTTTACAGGGAAGAAAAGCCTGGTACTTCTTGCTTAAAATATGAGGGGGCAGGAGGAATGTGAGAGGAGCCCAGGAATCCCAGCTGCCTACCTGGAAGCATACATTTGCCAATTAGATTACATTTTAATCCACTGGGTTTATGATTGTGTCGAAGGCGAGCATTTTTTTTCCCCCTTAACGCTATAGGGGATTTATAAGTCACTTGGGTTGAAACTATGAGAAATGACTCACGGTCATCCTTGAGACTATGTGAGTCAGCTTTTGGTCCCTGAGGCTAATGGATTGCAGCTGTCCAATGAATATTTGTTACATGAATAGCAATTTTAAAATGTTTATCTTCCCAACTTAGCTCCACTATCCACCTCTTCTAGTATGAAGTATTTTTAGCCATAACTTGGTATGAACATCCAATCATTTCATCCAGTCGAAGCCCAATGGGCACATTCAACCAAGACTGATTTCCTCAACCAAAGGAATGGTAAAAGTCCCTCCAAAACAAAACAGACAAACAGCATTGTGTTGGTACCTGTTGACTCGCTCAGGCCAGCTATCTGAATTGTCCAGTCGAACATGTGAGTGGACATTCAGAAACCCTGAGTTGACAGCAGAATGTTCAGCTCAGGAATACTCTGGATGTAGCTGTATCTGGACGTGGCTTTTGTCAGATATGATTGGCATTTCTGAGCAAATCCTGTGAACTTCTGGCACATTCCTCTATCTCCTCATGCTAAGTGGAGGAGCCAATTAAACATTTGGCAAATTGCTAAATCTTCAGAGCACGTGTTGATTTTTTAAGTTTTAAATTGAATCTGTGTTATGTTTGTCCATTAATGTGATTGCCTTAGAGGTTATTAATTTGGCCTGCTGGTTACTAAGTAACTTAGATTTATTAAAATCTAGCCGCTGGATATAAATACAAATAATTCATATGTTTTGATTTGCTCTAGTTAGCCTCTCAAGGTACTCTTGGAAATGGGTGCATTCGCTGATCTTGAATATTAAGGATATTATACCTTTCTTTTCTTTTTTTTTTTTAAATACAGTGACTTTCCATCCCCAATCATTAGAAGTTTAACCTGTGGTTCATGATCCAGTTTCAGGGTGAGAGATTAGAAAGCCGTCTGAAATTTACCTGGATATTAACATGAGAGTGCACATTAATAATGCACATTTTCTCTTTGATATCCTTCCCTTTATGTCTTTCAATCAAGCTCATTTCATTCTGAACAAAAGTCAGATGAGATCCTTCAACATTAAAAAAATTTTTTTATTAGGCTATGTTAAAAATCAATGTATAAAATAAAACATGGCTTATTACTGTTTTGAAGTAACATCAACACTGCTATTCTCTGCATAATGAAGCATGACCATTCTTATTGGGGATTTGTTTAGTAAGTAGGCACGTGAGCCCTTGAACCTGACTTAAAGGCGTGTCCAGTCCATGTCTTACTAAAGCCTCTTGTTAAGCCAGGGTGTACAGTTTTGATTAGATGAGGTGGCCAGTTCTAGGTAGGTTCCTTGAAAGGAGTAAGTGACGAAAGTGTCCTTTTAGAAGAGTTTCTGGCACTTGGCTGTTTGGCACTTGATTGGATTCGTAGAAGGGAGTTGGGATGGAATCTAGTGTCAGATAATGATGGCCTGACCAGGGAGCATCACAGTGACACTGAATGAAGAAGGAAGAATGTCAGGCAGGCAGACCGATGTCATTATGTGGAAGAGGGTCAGTGCACCTGACCGTGACCATGACCGCTCCCTTGTTCCCCATCTAGTTGGTCACAGCGTCCGCTCCTGCCGAGCCCTGGTGTAACCTCAGAGTCTTGCACACACTGGCTAGATATTAATTAATAAATATTAGTTCTTTTGTACAGTACCAGACACTGTATAAAACCTTAAGATGTGTTATCTCAAGGATGATGGAGTGGTTAGGAGCATGGTTCTTTACGCCATTGACGAGCTGTGTGTCCTCGGGCAAGTCCACTGATTTCTCCGGGCCTTGGTTTCTTCATTTTTCAGTTGGGATATTCATTTCTGTCTCATAAGGTTTGGAGCAGGATTAAATGGATAAAGTAGATGTAAATGAAAACTGTTTGGAAGTTTCAGGCACAACATTAAGGGCTGTATGTTTTGTTATTATTACTTCATAAAACAACTTTATGCAATAGGTGTCATTTTTGCAGAGTAAAAATTGAGTGCAAAGAGGCTCATGGTCGTAGCTGGGAGTGAAACACAGACTCCGGTACCTGTTTTCCTAACGTGTATGCAGGGCTGTCTGCTATACCGTGTGCGCGGTGCTCGGAACGCTGCTTGGGGCAGGAAACGTGAGCGCTGGTCCCATGTTGATTCAGGGCACCAATCATTTCCAGTGTGGAACTGGCTATCTCCTATAGAGGATGAGTACCCAGATCGTCCTACAAAATTTTTGCTCATTTTCCTGAATGTTGTGGTCTTTTGCAGATCGTGTTTTTCATGAAGTTCTTTATTAAGAAGGGTTCTGGGGGGCACCTGGGTGGCTCAGTGGGTTAAAGCCCCTGGCTTCAGCTCAGGTCATGATCTCAGGGTCCTGGGATCGAGCCCCACATCGGGCTCTCTGCTCAGTGGGGAGCCTGCTTCCTCCTCTCTCTGCCTGCCTTTCTGCCTACTTGTGATCTCTGTCAAATAAATAAATAAAATCTTTAAAAAAAAAAAAAAAGAAGGGTTCCGGTTTGTGTTTTCACATGTGCTTGAGAAACACCGTTTTTTTGTTTCTGACAGTTGACGTACGTAGTGCATATCCATTCGGTACATCTCCTTATACTCATTGTTCTTTGCTGGAGGCAGAGAGGATATGTCTCCCTAATGAATGCATAATACTCTACTGTATCCATTATATATTATGTATGTACTGTAATACTGTGTATTTTTTAACGTAGGGTATACAAGGTTTGTAAAACATACATAGTATATATATTGTAAGACATATATTATATACATTTCTATACATTATATAATATATATTATATCATACATTATGTCAGGGAGATGCGGTATATGTAAGGAGTCACTGGGTATAAGGAGAGATGTCACTGATGTGTATGTGTATATTGCATTATTGGGCAAATATCAGCGTTCTAGTAAGCACCATCCACCATCTATGCCATACAGCTCTCTCTACACCCCCAGAGTCTCACATGTCTTGCAT